CCAAGCAGAAGGGTACCATGTACCAAGTCCCGCCCACACTTGACGAACTGAAAGAAAGCCTTATAATATTTGGGAAAGGGAAGATTGGTATGAAGTGGAGTAAGAAGGTGAGGGCCAGTTCACACAGGGAGCCTAGAAAACCATAATAGAGTGGATTTTACTTTAAGAACATCAGTGGGGCAACCAGTGAATTATTTTAAACAGAGCTGTTTTTTAAAGGTCTCTTTAAAAAGGTCTCTGGGGACAGAAGTGGACATGAGAGACCCACTTAGGCTATCGCAGTAGTTCAGGCTGGTTAGAGCAGGGCAAAGGCAGTGGAAATGGAGAGAAGTGGGAACATGTTGAGTTTGAGATGCCTTTGAAATATCCAGGAAGAGATAATGTTGAGTAAACATTCTGGAATTTAGGTGAAAAGTCTAGAGTAGAGATTTAAATTGGAGGGTTGTGTATCTAGATGGTATTTAAAGCCATAGGAGTAGATAAGAGTCTTCAGGAATCCCAGCATTTAGAAATAGAGTAGAGGAAGCAAGAAGCCCTCCGTGACGTATGATATGTCTAAAACTTGGATGAAACATCTTCTGCCACAAATCTATTTCATCTGCAGCCTTCCCCCATGTCAGCTGATGACAACTCTGTTCCTCCAATACTTAGACCAAAAACCTTGGCATCATCTGTGACTTCTTCCATGGATCTTACTCTTACTCTCTCTCACCTTCACCCAGTGTTCAATCTATGAGAAACTATGCTGGCTCTTCCTTTAGGGTGTTCAGAATCTACCATTTATCATTATTCTGACAAGTGCCGCCAGATTATGGTCCAATTCACTGCAATCTCTCACCTATTTCCCCCACGGTTTAGTCCCAACACAACAGGAAAATACTTTCAAATGTGAGTCATATGTTAACTTAGCAGCTTAAAACTCTGTAATGACTCTGTTTTCTTCAGAGGGAAAAAAGAAAGTCAGGCCCTTTTTACTTCTAACCTCATTTGCTATGCTTCCCCTTTTTCACTGTGCTCCAGCCACTCTGACTGCCTTGCCTTTGGTTACCCAGTAAGGCTAACTCCCTCATCTCCTTTAAATGGATCAAATGTCACCAGCTCAGCAGTGACCTCAGTGATAATCCTCCTCAACTTTAGAATACCCTCCCATGAACACATTTCAATCACTGATCTGCTTTTCTTTTTCTAATTACTTTCTAACATATTTATTTTTTATATTAATTGTTCATCTCTTTCATCCCCATGGAGGAGAAGCTCCTCAAAGGCAGGGATTTGATCTCTTTGTTCACTGCTATGTCTGGTACATACACTAGTTGGTATTTTCTAATCATTTGTTGAATGAATGAGACAAGAGGAAGATCAGAAGAGGGTGGTGTCACGGAAACTTTGGAGAAGGTATTTCAGGAAGGAGGAAGTAGTCAGTTGTTAAAAGCTGAAAAGTGTAGTCAAATGAAGACCATCATGTCTTTTGGGTTTGGCAATATGGAGATTTTATGTGACTTTGTTGAAAGGAATTGTATGGAGGAAGCAGAACCCAGATTGAATTTGGAAGAAGAGTGAATGGGGGATAACCTTATAGATTTGGGTGTGCAAGGGAGCAGAGAAATGGGAATGTAAGTTCAAGGAGAGTATTTTTATAAAATGAAATGTATCAAAATGTGTTTGCATACATTTAGGAATGATTTAGTAGCGGGCTCTTGAGAAGGTGAGAAAGGATTTATGTTTGTGACCTCAAAATGTCTGTCTTCAACTCAGACCGGTTTCCTGAATTCAAGATCCATAGAATCTACTACTTACAGGGCATTTGTGCCACATGGACTTCAGACTTAACATTTCCAAAAACTAATGTTATCCCACAAGACCTCCTATTTTTTCTTTATCTCAGATTTGATAGTCATCCACAACCATTCTTCCTTTCACTAGATTAATCACTAGATCATGTCCGTTTTCTCTTTTAACTCTCTTTTGTTATTCCTGGCAACATTGCGTGCAGTAGTAAAAAGTAGAAACAGTATCTTTGAGATTGGAACTAGTTAGATTTTGATACTTCCAATCAAGAAAATATCTATTGTACTGATAGGAGTTGATTTCCAGGATTATTAGTTTTTTTTTAAGATGAAAGATACAAACAATATCTTTTTTTTTGAAACGGAGCCTCAAGCTATCCCCCTAGATAGAGTGCCATGGCATCACACTCACAGCAACCTCCAACTCCTGGGCTCAAGCGAGTCTCCTGCCTCAGCCTCTCAAGTAACTGGGACTACAGGCATCCGCCACAACGCCTGGCCATTTTTTGGTTGCAGCCATCATTGTTGTTTGG